TGGCGGCTTAACATGGGACAAAGTAAAGAGCTTTCTAACAGCAAGATAACATAGAGATACTGTCTAAAGACTTTTCTAGAAGCATTAGAAGGTAGAGAGAGCCTCTATAAGTCCTACTAAAATCCAGTTATTCTTGCAAGGTGGTGAAATCAATTATAGGAATATTTTTTACACTGTTACGCTTGTTTCTCTTGTAAGTCTAAGGCATGCTTGGTTTAAGGCAATTTTATTTCATAATAATTGTGTGTCAATTTTTTATGAAAAATAATGACATAATGTCTGTATTGAGTACTGTTTGTAATTTAATGCTATATCTTTAGTTATACCTGTTCCTTGTTGCTGGAAATTGTAATATTAATTCATAGGAATCTCTGTACTATATAACCCATGGTTTTTCCAAAAAATGGCTCTGAAATGACCTTTATTACATTTTGATACATATTGATGTCCTTATGCTGCGTAGAAAAATGTTCCGGCTTCAATTTATCGAATTACAGCTATCTGAGGAGATTTGAAATTTGAAAATACAACGAGATCACTGTTAGCATAGCTTATTGAATTAATCAGGGCAAGTTAGAGGTAGCAATTAATACACTCCTTCTGTCAATGTCAATGGAGTGTGTCATTGCCTTTCTTTTGATTTATTGCATCATTAATATCATTCATAGCTGCTATAATTGTGTGGTATAGTAAATAGCTACAGTAAATAGCTACAGTAAATAGCTATGGTAATTAGCTATAGCTATTGTAAATTACTATAGCTATAAAATAGGTATAGTAAAGTTTATGATCTTTATGATAAGCTTACTGCATTATAATGTACACAGTGTTGGTGAGAAAAGAATCCAGTATAAGTATAACATTAGTAGCCTTACACATCAGTGTACATACAGCTAAAATATATGAGCTTAAAGCTAGTGTTGGTAACTGAGTTAATAAGATGTAAGTATACCATCTTCTTTAATTAAATCTGCTTATACATATCATCATGTAGTTTCCTTGTATAATACCATTTATGACTTGTTTGTCATTTGTGTGATCGTGTGAGTAGTTTATTTAATTCATTCCAACTATTCTCTTTAAAATAGCTAATTTGTGTAGGATGCACATAGTCATGAATAGTGAGATATGATAGGTAATTGTGTTTCATTGCCTTATTACCAATTATGCTTTTTATAACACAATATCCTACACAAATTTTAAAGTATAATTATCATGTTTGTAACATTTCATTGCTATTTGTTGATGCAATTTAAACAATGATGTTTTCATAAGCTTATACCATATACGGGGCCAAATCTGAGCATCCATTTATGATTCACACAAAGCCATTATTATTATCATGTGTTTTATATTTTATATACAGGTCCTGAGATCATCCCACTATGATCTGTGACTTCATTGAGTGCTAGCATTCCACTTAAAACTTTATCTATTATAGCTATCAGTACTGAAAGGGTTGTTCAGCTTATTATTGCAATGAAAAGTATTAGTGAAAGATAAGGAGAAGATGGTGAGAGCGTACGAAGGACTGAAAAGGAGCAAAGCTGAAAAAAATTTGAAAGAAAAGAGGAAAAAGAAAACAAGTACATTTAGTGGACAAGTTGTCAATTTTTTAAAACTGAGCAAGTTGTGTTTTTAGTGAACACATTCATAGTTACGAAAAATTTGTATGGTCAATATTCTCTATTATAACATTATTTGTAATGTTTAAGGCTACTAGGAAGAAGCTTCATGTCAATACCCACTTTACCATATAAGGTAGAATTGACTTCCCTTACTGCAGGAAATTAGGTCTGCATTATTTACTAATAATTTACTGATAATTGGGATATGTACAGGAAGTGACACAAAAATTACATAACCTTAGGAACCAATTAATCACATAAGACAACAATACTAATACTAAAGTCTATTTGCATTCACCTGAGCCCAGCAACTGATTACAGACCCCACTCAATAACACAATGCAATAATATTGTAAAAAGTATGGCTGTACTTTCTGCATGGGTTATACAACCAACTTGGAGCTAAAAAGCTACAGCTACTTCTTAAGTATCACAATAGATGCGGCAAAAGGAGAGGAATGCACTGGTATGTTTATCATTTCACAGTAGAGCTTGTAAGTCAAAAGTTATAGCAAAAAAATGAGGGCTCATGTGAACGCAAATGGACTTTAATAAGAACACCTACATACACTAAATTTAATGATAGTTTCCAATGGTTTACCACAATATGTCAATAATGTCATCAATCTATTTTCTAACTTAAATCTGCTTCCTTATCATTATTCTTAATTTATACTCCTTGTATAATACCATTTATGACTTGTTTGTCATTTGTGTGATCGTGTGAGTAGTTTATTTAGTTTTACTCCAACTATTGTATGTAGTAATAGCTATTACTCTAAACTTTGTGTAGGATGCTGTGTTACAAAAGCAGTGATATGACCTTATGAATTGATCACAATTGTGTTATAATAAGTGATTATGACCTGATAATTCAACTATGACCATTCATCAGCTCATAGTTGAATTTATACTTTTTGTAGCAACTATTTTAATACAATGTCTTATAAGAAATTTAGGGTACCAGTATAACATTACAGTAAACAGATGTAATGTTTTTCACTCTTCAATGCTCTTTGACTATACAGATTACATAGTTGAAGCAATGATTTAATAAGTTCTCACTGACATAAGCAATTTGCTGTACACTAGTCTATTCCAAATGCAAGCAGTCCATTGGGCATAGGTGCAGGAATAGGGGGGCAGGGGGGCCATGGCCCTGCAATAAAATAAAATATTAAATAAATTCTTTTTGGCATTAACTTCATTGCTAACTTTGTAACATTGAAAATATCCTAACTATTGTGCCGTTACAAGTGCTACCTGTATCTAGTTAGCACTTGTAAAACACATTCATCTTTATTATGAGTGCGTGATAATTTTTATAGGATGCAAATTTCATTCCTACACCTATGTTGGGTGGCCTAATTGTCCATGCATGTTTGTGTAATATTCATAGTAGCCAGTCCACCATATTTGTATTATGGTCCAACTTCCAAGCAATGCTGGGGTATCTTTCTGAGAGGTAACCTTTTGAATTTGATACATGGTCATTGGTCAGAACTAGGCCAAATAAGAAATCTTTGCTATGTTGATAAATCTACTTTAAATAATTTTTAAAGTGATAAATATGCATATAATGTGTATATAGTCATCCATTTATGATTCATATTATATGTTGTATAATAAAGATCTTGCCAAATATGATTGGAGGGTTACTGGGCACTGTGACTTCATTTTCTTATTTTTCTATTCAGTTGTAGGCTTAACTTGCTAGCATTCCCAAACTCTACTTGTATCACATTGGAAGTGGAGAATGAGGAGGAGGAGAATCAAAAGAAAGCAGAGAAAATGAATTCAAAAGTGGAGAAGAGGGGGAAAGTATGCTTGGGTAGGCAGATATTTTCTGGGAGGGATGAAGATGACTGTTTCAATAATAGCCCACGTGTTCTCACGTATCCGCTAAGCATTTTGGAATCCTCCTGTCCAACTTTGCCTCTCATATCAATAGAGCTACACAAGTCTGCACTTCTTTTTGTAGTGCCTTTCTAGCTCTAGCTTATTGGTACCTGATACTCTCAACTAAACCCAACAACATCTCTCTATTTAATTAACTCTTTCTGCCTACCAATACTCACCTTTTCCTTTGGCATCTGGTCTCCTCCTAAATCTGTTATAACTATTCTGGAGAAAACCTGGAGAGAACCTGGACCAAGTGTCTAAAAACCATTCTCGATCTTCCCCCTCATGCACCTGTCATTGGCATTCATTTATTACTAGGCACCCTTCCTGTAGAATTTCTGTTATCCAAATGCAGATTATGCTTTCTTATGAGTATATTGTGCTTGCTCACCTCAGCTCCTGCTAGACAAATATTAATTTATTGCCATTAGCACAGGCACCACTCACACTCTCCATCTCCCTTGCTAACAGCGATCATTTCTGATCTACACTCCTTTGACCTACCAGACCTCCAGGGTCTCATTTCTGACTCTAACATGTTAATGGCTGCAGAGTCAGTGATGAAGCAATATAAGCAAGATTAATGCAACAAGATCTACTGTATTAGTGTATTTAGACTTGTGCAATTGCTTTGCTTGCTCATACATGTAGATCATAGCACAATCAGATCTATAGCTTGCTTAGGCTCGTCCCTTTAATGTTTTACATTCTTCTAATAGTTATTGATACCAAATGATCAAAAACGCTAAATTAAGTACCAGCCAAATGTCAGTTTCATGAAAATCGCTAATATAAGTACACACTAATAATTGTCTCCTTAAGGTATCTGACCTCAGAGCCCACTGGGCAATCTGCTTAAATCTATAATTATATTATAAGTGTTTGAAAATCATAAAAACGGCCGCCATCTTGAAAAATCCATCTGAATCCTACATATACACAGCCAAGAGTTTGTGATTGATTCATGAATGATGTCAGTCCTGATCCGGCCTAATGCATCCTGAATCATGGATGTTGGGCAGCTAATATGGCAATGAGCATAGCTGAATCTATCAGCCTTGATACAATCATGTTGGAATTGATACTGGTTCAGCCAGAGCAACATGCATGATTCAGCAATGATACCTGTCAGACTGTATCAATACTGTAATCAGGCTCGATTCATTGATTTTGGGCAGTGTCTTGTATCATACATGTGAACTCTTGGCTGTGTAGGCTATCGCCTATAATAACTTGATGATTAGCTTAAATTTCCTCCACTACGGTGGTACTTAGTCAGCCAGGCCTGACTAGGTGGTACTCTCCATTTCAAGAAGTTAGATAATAAGTGGGTGTGATCAAGATTATGTCTATATAAAGCTAAAGCTTCTGTTCTGAGCGAGGACACCCTTCACTCTTTGGAGTTTCAGCATTGTAGGACTGGTAGTATTTGGAATTTTAGCTGCTGAAATTAAGCGAATTTGAGTCCTTGTCGGACACCCTCGGTTCTGAGGAATTAGCTAGCCAATTAAGGGCTAGGATGGCTGATGATGCTGCTATAGATATCGATGTAAGCTGTTCACTGTCTTTACTTGTCTATCTTTTTTAATATGATATCTATTCAAACAGCCTATAGATTATTTTTGATATTTTTATTTTCTGAAATAAAATATCTTGAGCCCTTGCATGCATGAACAGAGATGCAAACAATAAAGATTGTTCTGCAATTTATATGCTAACTTCTCTATCACACTCTATGTCTCTTTTTTCTATTTTGCAGCCAGACCTATGTAGTCGTCACCATGCTTTGGCTGAGCTTCTGGGAAGCATAGATGATCCTAAAAGCAGGCCATCTTTACACCAATTACATGAGCTTCTTGAAGGTCTAAGTGATCCTAACAACCGGCCATCTTTACCCACTTTCTCTGAGTTTCTGGAAGGCCTAAATGATTCTAATAGCATGAGTGATTCTAATAGCACAAGTGATATTAGTGGTAAATTTTAAAATTAAACATCTACCTTACAATTGTATAATAATTATCTAATTATTATGCTGAATATAATACTTTTAATAATATGTACTGCTAATGATAAGGTAGTGAGTAAGTAATAACAATAACGAGACACCTACAGTGCTTTGACTCACTGCAGTTGCTTGCACTGTTGCAATTAAAAGCAATAAATCGTAGGTTTCATCTCTATCATGTAGCATTATAGAGATAAAGACCATGATTCATTGCTTTAATAGTGCGTGTTCTGCACCAACTCAAGTCAAAAGAGCTATCATAAGCTAACATATCAGAAGCGTAGGAAGATTTTGGAGAAGGGGGTGTCTTGATGTACTGTGATATTATATAAGCAATTGGTGAACTGCATAGTTATCTTAGCATAAAATAGATATGGGTGTGGTCAAGAGTTTTTATAGACCCCCTAGGCCTAGTCTCATCTCGCGTAGCCAGACCACACCCTCCGTGCCTACGGGTGGTGTGGTCTGGCTACGCGAGATCTACCCTAGGCCTAGGCGCTAAGATTATTTTCAATGAATATGATTACAATAATGATATTCATTCATAATAAATAAGATTTTCCTATACGGTATCCACCCACGATGTAAATTACTGACGGCAAGAAGGCCTCGAGATCAAAAGAAAATCAAAGGCGGTGACACCGCCTGGCCATTTCTCTGAGTGCTACAAGGTACTACAGGCTTACAAGCAGCATTTATTGGAAAGTATGGAGGCCAGACTACATCATATAAGCCAGGTGTACTCTAATATCTATGATACAAAATAGTCTTAGCGCCTGGGGGTCTATAGCTAGGAGAAAGAGAAAAGCTAAAATTTATTTTAGCACTCGAAGAATTGGCAAAAAGTATTGCTTAGAATTTTAAGAGAGACTGAGAGAATTTGGTTGCTACTGTTTTTCCTAGTGCCACCTCGGATCCTCTTAATTTATAAAGACACTAAAAGACTATCCATTAATTTTGGAAGTCTGGAAACTGAACTTATAAGATTTTTTATGGTGAGCTACAGTGCTTGTGACTGATTGCCACCAAGTTTTTGTTTTAAGACTCATTGACAGAATTAAGATTGTGAGAAGAGCTGATTAGAAGTTTAGCTTTGGTTCTTAATTACATAGGGTACAATGCAGATTACCAGTGGCAAACAAAACTGGCCATTTTATAGTGATGGGCAATTCCGAGTCCAGAGTATTTGATCTTTCGATTCCAAATGGAATCGTACTCGTATCGAAAGAGAAATGGGAATCATTTGAAAAAAATTTCGAATTGAGCCACACCCAAGTGACCCAACCACTAGGGGTGAGGGGATTAGGCGGGAATAAAAATAGGAATAATAAGCTGTAAAAGAATACAGAATAATTTTGGGAATAAAAGGTGGCACATGGAATAAAAATGGCTTCTACAATGAAATTTTATGAGAGAGTAGCTCATGCCAATTATGTGCATCCTTTTTGGAATCTAATACCCAAAATTTAGTAAATTTTTTGACTTCTAGTTTAGTTATAAGCAAGACTCATTACTGTTTCGCCATGTTGAGGCCATGTTGAGAATTTTTTGAGAATATTTGATTAATTTTGGAGAATAAGTTCTTGATTGTTAGAGATATGCTGAATAGAATAATATGAAAATTTTCAGGAATAATCCCCCTACCCCTACCAACCACACTCTTTTAATATTAATAATAGTTAATAAACCAGCAGTTAATACAGTAATTATGTACTGTAATAGATAACACGTGGTTTGGCGCATGCGCAGATTAGTACTCGGAATCGGTACTTGATTCCATTGATTCCAGTCTCAAAAGTATTTTGAGACTGGAATCAATAATTATAATAATAATTATTATTATTATGTCATCATTTTAATTATAGTAATGCTACTGCATTACCATAGATATATATATATATTACTAAGATATATTACATAGATATTCGTAAAAAAAGTAACAGAAACAAGGGCAAGTAGGATTTTACCCAACGAAAATATGAAATGAAAATCCTACTCTTGTGACGCAAATTCTACTCTACATTGCAAGGTGATCTGTAATTTCTGACACATTAATAATTATTGAAAGTACAATGTAGAGTAGAATTTGCATCCCTACTTCATCTTGTTTTTTTTTAATTTTTTATGTTCTTAATGTAATAGTCAATGCATAATAATATTACATTGTATGTATTATAATTTTGAAAGGTCATATAATACTTAATGTACCAATGAAGCACTATGGTGCAATGGACTCGCCCACTGGAATTCACCTGAGTGATATGTATTACTTGTACTGTGATATTTTAAGCAATTTGAAAAAAATTATTAGTATTGACTGCATAGTTATAATGATAATTAAAATAAGCTGTGGGTGTGGTCAACAACTAACTAAATCATGGCACATGGGTAGGAGAAAGAAGAAAAGCTGAAATTTATTTTAGCATCTGAAGCTCTATTCCAAGAAAGAGTTGGCACAGAAAATTTTTCTAGATATTTAAAAGAGACTGAGAGAGTCGGTTGCTCCTGCTTTCCCCAGTGCCGCCTCAAAAATTCTCAAGGAGGCTAAATCACAAACTTTGAGCAACTGTAACTCACAAACAACGAAGTTAGGACAAAATCGTTCTTTTTTTCGTTAGATGGGATTTTCTACCTCTGAAGCAAATCTCGGTCTTGTAGAGTGAAACACGAGCTCTCACTTGGTGAGAGGTCCCCTGGTTTAGCAGTTCACAGCTTTTGGTGCCACAGGATGCTACAAGAGCATAACTAGATGAAAGAAAGCAACTTTATCTGTTGCTAGAAGAAGAAATATAGCTCTAGACTGCTTAGACAAAAAGATATTTTTTTTACAAATCAATTAAACTATGTGGACAGAACGACAGATGACAACCCAACTGCTTAGTTCCAGCCTACGCAAGTGTGGCGAGTCCAATAACATGCTCAGACATAGTTATACAAATTTCTCTTTATTTGACTACTCTAAGTCAGTATTTATCCTTAATTTTACAGATGAACTTGATGGCAACATGACACCGCTCCACCAAGCCTGTTTGATGAATGAATATGATCAAGTTGCTCAATTATTACAAGACAAAACAGTGGATATTTTTGCTCCTGATGAAGATGGATCTACACCACTTCATTGTGCTTGTCAGGCTGGTAACAAAGAAATAGTTGAGCTTCTTATTCAAGAAAGAGCTAATCGTCTTACATCTGCTTTGCATGAAAATGATGGTGACTCTAAAATAAAATCTTTTTTTAATGTCACTGATAATATTGAAGTAAGAGACATGTTAGTTATTGCATGTTCTTGTTGCTATCACTATTATTATTATGTAGAATACACCACTTGGTTTGGCTTGTATAAGAGGTCATACAGAAATAGTTGAACTACTGCTGGAGCAGGATGGAGTCGATATCAGTCACACTAATAAGCAAAAAGTAAGAGATTATTAAATGACAAGAGTAACAATGAAGTGAACTAAATTAATGTACATTTTTTCACTGAACTGGGATAAGAAATAGACAGCATTCAAAATTTTCAACAGATAAAATTTTCCGCTCTGTATTTATAATCTTATGAATTACGGTTACCTGATCAATACTTATTGGGCGAAGCCCACTAGTTCGAGTAGAGTATGTTTGTTTGTTTGTTTGTACACGTACGTCACCCCTATTTATCCGTATGAAAAATTTTCCTATTTTAATAACCTAATCTTAATCTTCTTTGAAAACGGGTGTGGTCACAGTGAAATAAAATGGCGCCAGCTATCAATTCTTCATTGTTCTCAGTTCATGTTCTTGACCTTACAAGTTACAAGTCACTCACTTGAGTCAGCAAGAATGCAAGAGAAGTCTCTACTACTTTCCAAATACAACAAGGAAGATTAAGAAGGCAGATATGCCACAGTTGTGAGCTTGTAAAGCCTCCACAACTACTGACATAACCTATGACTGCAGTTACTGTCTCTGGCTTCCAACACAACTTTTTTGCTGCAGAATGTGATAAACTGATAAAGAAAATTTGTATTTCCAAGCATGACTTCATTACAAACTACTGTATTTACTCATGTACATGTACAATAATGTAGCTCTATACCATATAACCTTTAAAATATAGCGTGGCTAGTGGGCTGAGCCCCTTAATGTTTTACATTCGTCTAGTTATTATTATTATTATTATTGTTATTATGCTAGCGTACACCACTTGGTATGGCTTGTATAGAAGGACATACAAAAATAGTTAAACTACTACTGGACAAGGGAGCTAATGTCAATGTCACTGATATTAATGGAGTAAGAGAAATTATTTAGTAATCAATTTTTATAAGAAACTTAGCAAAAATTATGTGGACATTATTTAATATTATTATTATTATTATTATTATTATTATTATGTAGAATACACCACTTGGTAATGCCAGTATACCAGGACATACAGAAATAGTTCAACTACTACTGGAGCATGGTGTG